CATCGACTATGTTGGATCAGTTTGTGAGCAAATTAACCGTCTCGGCTCGGTCGACTCGGATCGAAAAGGGACTAACAAATGTAAGATACAACCTGCATCAGTTGAATAGTCAGTTAAGGCCCTTGACGAAGATCCATCTATTAGGACGACTTCTTACTTTCAAGCGCGAGCTTCTTCTGGATCCGGAGAGAAGGATGATTATATGGCTTAAACAAGGCAACGTAATAGACAGGTTTGTTCGCAGCTTGCGCGGATGATCGAGTGTGCAGGCGAGTAATTTCTCTGTGATGATCGTGAATTGCTTCATGAATCGTGGACTAGCATCGTCTTGAAATCGGTGGACCCAACATTGATAATGTAGGTATTCTTAGCGATAAGTAGGACTTAGTTTTGAGCTTTATTTGAATCCATGCATCATCCACAACTAAACATCAGCCTGTTTTTATCTTGCCTAGCAGCCATTGAACCATGCGCATGGAGTGAGAGAATCAAGCTCGTCGCGAAGAACCCGCTCACTTGTTTCTACAAGGTGGTAGGGATTATTTCAGCAAGCTTGTAAGCAGATCCTTCCCCCGCCAAGCCCAGTATGCGCATTGGTGGCGTGAGTGGAACGCGCAGGTGCTTAATGGAAAGGAGTGAAGCCGGTCGAGACATAGGCAGTGTTGTTCGACGCAAATCGATGACAGGGAGCATCGATATCCAACTCTATGGCAACTCAGTACAAAAACTGCAAAAAACATCGCCAATGAAGTGTTTATAAAGCTCAGTTCGACCATCGGTCTGCGCACGATAGCCGTGGACACTTTCCAACTGTATGCTAATCACAATTGAGACTGAAGTCCAATACCAGTGGAGCGAGGACAGCGATCCGAGATGTTTACTAAAGGTTATCGTGTTGACGGAATACACGATCGATAAACATTATAGCAGTCCCTTGACCATCTATAGATTGCGGTGCTATGTGAGCCATTTTCTCAAACGGTCAACAAAGACCATATTTTTGTATTGCCGTCACAGTGTCTGAAAAGATCAAGCACAAGTCCAAACTGACAAATTCCCGACATCTAGTAGGCACTGGTAAACTAGCCACGGTGCAGCTGAATTGGCCGAGGGTTTAACCGGTGGCAGGGTTCGCATGAACGCACAGGTGTGCTTACCCATTTTTAGAATTTTTGGGGGATACCAGTAGTGTTGACTCACTGAGCTATATGTCTGTGCACGACCCAAAAGACTACCGAGGGAAGTATCGTATGCCTCAAAGAAGACACGATTAGTTTATCCCCATCGTGAAGTACAACAATGCGAGCGGCATCCGTTTTATCTGTGCGACAGCAGAATGGACCTTTGTCGATGGTATGTCGATGTAGTCTAGCACACAAGCGTGTCGAAAAAGAGGTGTTAGAGTCTTTTAACCCCTCTCATTCGAGGGAATGAAGCAATGTTACACATTGATAATTCTGTGTATGCCACGATAGTTAACTCTTCAAGAGAAGACGACTAAGTTGTAACATTAGGCAATCTCATAATCGGTCCCGGTGAGATAGGGCATCAATTAACACGTTTCATTTGACCGGTTTTACTTTATTTATATTTCGCAAAGAGCAAAGTTAATGAGCTTATCTTTCCAAAGGTGAGGCGAATGAGTCGTCATACGTAACCATGCTTGATCCACGTGGACGACAAATGGATTGGAGCCAATCAAGCGTACTTTAAATTTGGCGAGAGCATAATGGCAGCAAGTAACTGTTTGTAGTGAAACTTTTCCCTCGTAAGCGGGATATTTTATATTTACAGCGTTCGGCCGACGAGATTAAAAGGAGACAACTCGCTCGCGGCCTTCAGCATCTGTTTGTATTAGGGTGCTGCCTGTGGCAAAGTTGAATGTGATTAAGACGACACTACAAGGGTACGCAGGATTCGGCAACAATTAAAGACAGGAGCATGGCTAATACTTTCGTCCACTGCTCAAAATGCGTTATCACGATTGTCGCCTTAGAGCCAATATGCGTCCTTCTTAGGGAGATCAGGTAATGGCCGAGCCATATCAGCGTAACTTTTGCTGTATTTGTGTCAGTAATTGGCAAGGCCAAGCCACTTACACAAGTCCTTTTTAGTCATCAGGAATCGGCCAGTCAACTATAGCTATGATTTTGCGGGGTCTACGCTTAAAATGCGCTTACCAGTAACAATTTCAGTGAAGTAATCTCCTCTTCTGCAAAGAAGCATTCGCACGCTTTGGCGCACAGTTTATTCGTGCGCATGCATTTTAGAACGGCTCGCAGATAAACGATGTGGTCATTTATTTGTGACCATCCTTTCTTGGCACGACTATGGACCAAGATGTCATTAAACAATGGCTGTGCATAATCCCGATGGGAACGTAAATGTTGTGTCTCCAGAAAATTAAATGTATCCGACGCGTAAGACAGCCCTTGGAAACCACCAGCCATTCCCATAGCGTACCACTTAGAATGCTCACTGATGTAAGCAAAATATCACTAGCTAGCATGAGCAATTGATATACATCGACCAAGTCGAGTGCGCTATACATAGTAAAACAACAATGTTGTTTTAAGGAACATCCTTTAAAGAAATGGGTATCTGCGCGGGAAAAGTAGCCGCATTAAGATTGTTGTAAGCATGTACAATACGCCACTTGCCGTTCGACTTTTTGAAGCAAAATGTCGGTGTCGAATGTGAAGATTTACTCTCACGTACCTTGTCTGCCTCGTTCATGGCACGGAAGAAGTCATCAATGACATGACGTTGCTCCTTAGGCAAAAGCCACTATCACGTGACACAGTACAGGAAACTAAGTCAGTTTGATTACGGACATCTCTTTCTGGAGGTTAAGCGGAGGGTGGATCGTGGCACATCACATCTTAAAATTCCTTGAGAAAGGATAAGGAGATCATGAGAGTCTTTCTATATTGATGACCTACTACGCATACTGAGTGCTGCTTTTGTGTCCCCCAGAACGGCCTCATAAAAAGTGAAGAGAATTTCAGCTTTATGATGTCGGGTCAAATGACCACCACAAAAGGTGCACGTATTCAAATGAGTGATCAAACTCATCGGCTGACAACTCTTCGAGTTTTTGAAGAGCACTTAGCGAGGGTATATCCTTAAAGTTTACCGTACCCTCACAAACACCAGACACCACGTCAAATAGCGTATGCATCCAATAGTCATCATCACTTTGTGACACAGCACACACTATGTGATTCGTATCTCTCTGGTCGATATCGTCGTCAAGCTTATTTCTCTCATACTAGAGCTGATATTACGATCGAAATCTGATGATGAGCAAGCTAACATGACGTCGTCATAACGTGAATAACGTGTCAATTCACGCGCATCGCTGAGCCGGCTTAGGATGCCTTGTTATTCCACCAAAAACATCAATATTATCATTCAGCGCGTCGCTATTACAGCCGACGTTACTCGGTGAGTACACACGACCCAATTCAAGCTAATCTGATGGATTCAACCCTCGATGGCTTTACTATTGTCCGACAATTCCTTTAGCACGCAACACGTTGTTTCTAGAAAGACTATTACTCAACGGAGTACGTGCTTTTTCACAATCACAAAATGAGTTTTGCTTTTTACTCGTGTCTTTGGCATCGTCATTATCAACCAACGCAGACATTCCGATGTACAACACACTGACATTCTCAGCCAGCAGCTCACGCCAATAGCGCTTCTAATTCCTAGTCGAGTTGGGTCAATAACTCTAGAAAGCTCTGCTAGGGACAGCGCGCGTTGCGCTTGTTGTTTTAAATCTCCAATCGATCCATTATTCGTGGCGCTCAAGCCAGGCCATCCCAAGAATGTGCTCATATTTTGAGTCCAAATCAAGGACTTAACAGCGTATGATACTATCAAAATCGTATAAATCCACACCTAAATTCACAGCGATTCGGGTTCGATGACTAGAGTTCCTGTTGCTACGCGATCAATGACGGATCACTCTTTTACACCGATAGCGCCTCAGCGAAACATTGATTACCTACGAATTGACATCGTCTGAAGTAATTACCGGATGCACCGGAGTCGATTAAAATCGATTAGGGCTTCTTAAAGCTTCAAAATCAAGCTTTTGCGACCAACCAGCCTGGCTTGTTCTCTTGTTCCGTGATGGAGTGCAAATAAAACTCTTTGGAAAAAAGCTCTGCTCACCACTTCTTCCTAAAAAATTCGGCAGAACCTAGTTCTTTCCCAGTAGGGCGCCCCGCGTCTACTTGAAGTCTGCGTTTCACCGCGTCGTACCAGACTTCTGATTTGCGACAAGAGTTCAGCTCGAAGAATCCTGACGTGCCTTACGCGAAGGACAATTAGAGGCGCAGATTCTCTATGCTTCCTCACGTGAGACATCGTCGAATGTTACAATGTTGTTCTAAAGCTCGAAGTTCTACTTCTTCTTCCGTCTATCGAGACAAAGGTCCATTGTATACGGCCTATTGGATAGACTACAATGAATTTGCCGGGTTCGGACTGTAGCCAAGGGTGCCTGTAACGGGGTGAATCGTTACATAACAATTTATAAGAAATTGTTAATAGAATATAACTATAAGAGTTATATTCTCAGAATATTGTCATAAGGACAATATTCGGTAGCACTTCCAAGTAGTTCCTAATTGGTTGATATAGGCCATTATATCAACCAACGAAGACGCGCCACGACAGACGCACGCAATGAGTGGTGAGCAGATAACTGATTTACACATTTGTATTTAGACATAGTTAGATGAAGATAAATAGTGATTTATTGCAGACATTAACTATACTAAATACAGTTCTACTTTTTACTCTAACCGAGTACTCGCTTCTTCTTACCGTCTTCCTCTGCACGTACGAGTGTACGTGAAGTTACGAGGCACCGCCTTATTCTGTTATCAGAATAAGTAGCTTGTACTGTCACCAGTACAAGCTTCAGGGTGCCCCGTTACACCTGGTAGCACTTCGTAGTCCGTCCAAGGACCGCGTTCACATCCAACATGAATATGTTGGATGATGAAGATGACCAAAGCTTTCACGCTACGCGTGACGGCTACTCCCATTTGAGCGATGTCGAATGGGATGCGGTTGAACGAATGGGTTCGACCATGGGCATCCATGCTGTTAGCGTCATGCTAGAGGCTCTCAATAGAGATGCCCAACATGCTTCTATCGCCAAGTTCATTCAAAATGAACTTGACGCCGAACGCGAGAAAGTAGCCTTGCTTCACCAACAAGGTTCTCAACAAGCAGAGTTGTTGAGAGAACAAGGTGCTCAACAGTTTGAACTGTTGAGACAGCAGCAAGCTGCTGCTGGCGGGTCGATGCACTCGCGTCGGCCCGAGACTTTGAAGATTGACATCTCAAAGTATAGGGGGGTCGAAGAAGACTCCCTCTTGAGATGGTTCGTCGAATTGGATGACGCCATAAGGGCGCGTCGCATCGACGACGGGGATATGCAAGTTGCATTTGCCCAGTCAAATCTGGCAGGACGTGCCAAGACTTGGGCACTGGGGCTCAAGCTGCACGACCCATATGCGTTTGGGTCGTTGGAAGTCTTCAAGTCGCGGCTCAGACAAACGTTTGAACCGCCTAGAGCTGAGTTCAGAGCTCGAACCGAACTCTTGAAGCTCAAGCAGGGTAAGCGTGATGTGCACGCTTACGCTCAACATATACGACATCTCACGAGTTGTATAAGTTCCAATCCGGTGGATGAACACACGTTGGTTTCGGTGTTCATGCAGGGTCTTGCGGATGGTCCCGTCAAGACTCACCTGTTCCGGCTTGAACTAGATTCACTAGAACAAGCCATTTCAATTGCGGAGCAGGAAGACTTCAGTCTGAGACAGGCTCGCGCCAGCTCGACATCATATCGTCAACCGAGACGATATGACAACGGAGGATCCAGAGCCGATGGAACTCTGTTATGTAGAGAGCGAGAAGGCTCGCTCTACAGGCTACAAGAAGTTGCAGAGATGCAACAGATGTCAAAAGACAGGACACTACGCTTACGAGTGTAGTGCCCCTCGTCCAGTGTCTCGCGACACTGGGCGTAGTGACCGTCCACCCATGAGAAAGGGGCAGGGACGAGGGTCCGCAGTTGGTGCAAAGACGCAACAACGGGATGGACCGTCAAAAAACGGACAGGATCAGTAGGTGCGGAGCACCCTACTGATCCAGCAACGTCAAGAGAATTTGTAGGCCTCTTGATGAAGGTTGCTCCCAACACACAGACATTGTGCGTTGCTGCTCTAGGTAATGAGATCTCACTCATTACCTTGAAACTCGAAGTGACGAATAAGTTGTCCCTTCGAGCTCTAGTCGATTGTGGGGCGTCCAACAATTTTGTGCGACGCCAATCGCTAGAAGATGGTCACTTTAAATTCAGTGAATGTGACACACCTCCTACGAGGATGACGGTACGTCTTGCGACAGGCGCATCCGTAACCGTCATGAAGCGTATAGTGAAGATTCACTATACGCTAGAAGATACCCAATACGACGATGACTTTATCGTATTGGATTTGGATGACAAATTTGATGTCATCCTTGGAATACCGTGGCTCAGAAGGTACGAACCACGGGTAAACTGGCAACATCGAACAGTAACGATGCCTGCCGCTTGTTCATCAGATGGCCATCTGATGAACGTTTTGGAGCGTCCACAAGCGTGTGGATGTACTACGAGTGAGTGCGATGGCCTCACTTGTGGTACGGTCGTTAGTACGACTGCACAAAACCTTAGTGTACCAAACGGTTACACTTCGGAGCAAAGTTCCGGCGGCTGTGAGGAAACACAGGCTGCGCCGAAGGTCCACCACTCGAATAAGTCGGGTGGACTGGGACAAAGATGTATCCCTAGAGGGGAACATCTAGAAGAGAAACAATCGATCGCTCAGGTTAAGCGAAACGATAATCCTAGATCGACTGGAGAGTCTTTCGTAGAGGATCTCGCTGTGGTTGCGCAACCCCAGCTAGAGGAAGTAAAGGGAATAAGTCCCAAGATTACAAATACGGCGGAAATAAGTTCCCCGAAACCCGCGGGAATAAGTCCCCGGGAAGACGAAGGAATAAGTCCTTCGAAGCCTGAGGGAATAAGTCCCCAGGAAATGACAGAGACATTGAATGTCATAGTCAATAACGGATCATGTGTAGGCGCTTATACACTTGATCTGATTGCGCCTCCGAAGTTAACTTCGGAGATCACTCAGTTGCCAACGCTCGAACATAAAAGGTTCTTGCGTGATCTGCGTAGTGGCAAAGTCAAGCAGATCTGCGTACTCGTCGCTGACGACGAGTGTGTAGCCGACATAAGGTCAGCAACAGTGTTTACTGAGAACGAGAGAGTTCTCAGTAGTTCATCTATGGACGAGAGTGTCCTAGATGAAAAGACACGAATTGAGCGATATGACTCCCAATCATGGGAATCGCTCAAGACAAATCCTCTCTATGAAGATTTGGTTGAATTCAAGGATGTATTCCCTGAAACTGTTCCGTGCGAATTACCGAAGGATAAAGGTATTCGACACGAAGTCGAGCTTAAACCAGGCTCGAAGTACTGTGTCATGAAGCAGTGGCCACTGCCTCGTGAACAAGTACTTGCGATCGACAAGTTCTTTGCCGATCGTTTAGCAGCGGGCCATGTGAGGGAATCAACTTCCCCACATAGCTCTCCGACCTTCTGTGTGCGAAAAGCAACAGGAGGGTGGCGGATAGTGCACGCGTTTAACAAATTGAACGCTGCAACGGTACCGGCTCAGACGCCGATACCGAGGAAGGACGTAATCATTGATGGTATGTCAAAGAGTACCATCTTTTCGTCCATGGATTTGATGGATGGCTTCTATCAAATCCTAATGCGGGAACGGGATATACCCTATACCGCAGTTAGCACGCCTAGCGGCATGCTCTGGGAATGGCTAGTAATGCCACAAGGGCTCAGTAATGCCCCTGCCACGTTCAACAGGTGTGTATCACATCTGTTGAGGCCAGTACGAGAATTCGCGCCGAGTTATTTCGATGACGTATTCATCCATAGTCGAGCTATGGATGGAAAGTCGGACGTTGAGGTTCACAAGTACCACGTCCGACAAGTTCTTACAATCATGCGAAAGCATCAATTGTATGCAAACCTCAAGAAGTGTATATTTGCAGCAAGCGAAATACCACTTCTTGGGTGCATCGTTGGTAAGAACGGTGTACGTCCTGATCCCGAAAAGATCAAGGCGATCACCGACTGGCCCGTGCCGGTTGATGTCAAAGGTCTTCGAAAATTCCTTGGGCTAGCGGCGTATTTGCATAAGTATTCACGCAATTACGCCGAGATGACTGTGCACCTCTCTCGTTTGTTGAAAAAGAACGAGAGGTGGTTATGGAACGCTGAATGTCAACGCTCCTTTGAGGGTATCAAGCAGAGCTTGATACAATCCCCAGTCCTAGCAATAGCCGATCAGGACAGGCCATTTCATGTGGTCTGTGATGCCAGCGATTTCGCAATCGGCTGTGCATTAATGCAGTACGACCTTGAAGGCGTTGAACGCGTCGTCTGCTATCAGTCGCGTCAGCTGCAACCAGCTGAGCGGAACTATCCAGTGCATGACAAGGAACTCCTTGCCATGAAGTATGCACTCGCGAAGTTCAGAGTCTATCTATTAGGAGATAGACCCTTCGTTGTTTACACTGACCATGCGTCCTTACGCACGGCAGTGAACAGCCCGCACCTTTCACAACGAATGGCGCGGTGGTTGTCATTCTTTGCAGAATACAACTTTACGGTCGAGTACAAACCAGGACGACTTAATGTCGTCGCTGATGCACTCTCACGTCGTCCCGACTTTGAAACAGTCGCGAAACCCAACAGTGAGACAGTCACTGTTGCGGTTATGACGTCCTCAGTTCCATCTACAACGTTGTATGATGATGTGAGGCGGGCATACGCCCAAGATGGTGAGATAGTGAAGTTGTTGTCACATCTCTCACAACCATCTCGAGAATCGTTGAAACGATTGTCGTCTGCGTATCGATCTGCATCAGATCGATACACTACTCGTAACGGTTTACTGTACTATACAGCCGTTTCTGGTGACACACCACGTGTTGTCATTCCAGATGATACTGATCTGCGTTTGCGGATCATGTTCGAGTATCACGATGCTCCTATAGGAGGACATCGTGGCCGAGAGAAAAGATATCTCACGGTAAGTCGAGACTTTTACTGGCCCCGCCAGTATCAGTTTGTGCGAAAGTATGTTCGCGCATGCGAAGTCTGCCAACGAGTGAAGTCAAGTCCTTCACTGCGTGCACCTTTACAGCCTCTACCGGTTCCGGCTGAGTGCTGGGAATCCATCTCAATGGATTTCGTCTTCGGGTTACCCAAAGACGCACGCGGGAATACGGGTATTCTCGTATTTGTTGACAGATTCAGCAAAATGGCACACCTTGTGGCTGTACCAGAGACAATCACGGCAAGTGGCTGTGCTTGTGTCTTTATTGACACCATCTTCCGACTTCATGGGTTGCCCCGTGAACTCGTATCAGACAGAGATCCACGATTCACTGCTGATTTCTGGCGTTCCGTGTTCAAATCACTCGGAACGCGCTTGAAGATGTCAACATCTGATCATCCAGAGTCAGATGGTCAGACGGAACGTGCCAATCGTGTCCTTGAAGAGATACTTCGAGGATACGTACACTCCTTTAAGAGTTGGAGTGAGTTTTTGCCGATGGTAGAGTTTGCCATCAACAACTCGGTGCATGCGTCCACGACACATACACCGTTTTACGTGAATGGCTTGCGCCATCCGCGTGTACCCACCTTACTAGAGTGTAACTCTGGTTTAAGGGGGAGGGACTCGCGCGAGCAAAAACCGATTTGGTTCACGCTCATCACGCTCTGACGAAGAAGTCATTGCGTTTGATGCCGATATCGATAACATCGATATCGAAGAAGATGATGCCAGTGAGAGTGCGGAAGCCCTCACTGAAGACAATGATGCCAGTGAGAGTGCGGAAGCCCTCACTGAAGAAAAGGTTGTTGTTGCTGCAGTGCGCTCACAGCACACTGAAGCTAACGAGTCATCAGATGAGTTCATACTGGCTCGTGAAACGGTAGTCCGTTTTGTGCAAGACTCCATCGCCGAAGCGGTGGATAAGCAAAAGCAAAACGCTGACAAGAATGGAAGGGCAAACACTCTTTTATTTAATAAAGGTGACTTAGTCCTACTGTCTACGGTTAATCTACCAAAACATGTAGTGACTAACTTGGGTAGCAGTAAACTACTACCCAAGTACATTGGCCCATTTCGTGTATTGCACCGCCTAGGCAATGCATACACGATCGAGTTACCACGTAAGATGCGAACGCATCCCACGTTTTACGTTGGTCGGCTTAAGCCGTACCATCAGTACGCTGCTTCTTCCGATGAAGAACGCCCTTGCGCTCAAGCATCTCGCAGAGAGCCTTGTGCTCCCGATGGTGGGCATCAACAAGGGTCTGAAGAGCAGTTATCTCAGCCCGAGACCGATCAACAATCCCACGAGCTACCCTTAGCTCGTCACGAAGAGATGTCAGAGATCTCTCGTTCTCAAGCTGAGCAAAGGCAAACTCAGCTCGATGCTTCGAGGCAGTGTCCACCATCTGGAGACGCCTATTCCGCTCATGCTCGAGATCGTCGCGTAACCCTTGCGTTACGCGATCAAAGAAGCTCTCGGGAACACACCGATCCACATGATCGTGTGGAGAGCGTCTTTCCTCCTCCTCCACCTCCATTAGAGGACTCTCGCGGTGGCCAGCGCTATCTAGTAGAGCAGCTGTTGAACCACCGCGACGTGAACGGACGTCGGACGAGTTACCTCGTCCGGTGGCGCGGCTATCCCCCGTCCTGGGATTCTTGGGAGCCCCGCTCCCAATTGATGGTTGACGTACTGGGTCTGGTCGAGCAGTACGACGCGACACATCCTGTGCCGCAGAAGGACCGCCGGAGAAAGTCTTCCCGGCACGGTCGTAAAGGGATTTCAGGTT